TGAAATCATCAGAGCATAAATGATGACTTCAAGTCACTGAAACATCAGGAGGTGCTGATTAATTAACCTCACAACCAGGAAGAGATGAAGAAAGGTCACAAACCTCTCTGACCAGCTACAGGCCGATCTTTTACAAATCAGATCAGACAGATTATTATCAGATTATCTGAACCTTTGAGCTCCACTTCAGTGTCTGGGGGTTTTCTTGGGGTTTTTTCAGATTTAATCTTGGAGTCCTTTATAATAAATAAATATACATTTTCTAAATCTAAACCTATTTTTTTTTATCTTAAAAACAAAATAAAAGAGTTCTGAGTCAAATATATCTCCCAGAAAAGCTAAAAAGCTATTAAGACTTTGTAATTCTGCTCCTATGTGAATATTTTCCTAATAATAAACCAGCTTTCATCGTTCGTAACCCGACGTGTCCTTTTGTCCTGTTCTTCTATGTTTAAGCATCTATCGGTTGCTAGACAACCATAACGTAAACCCCAGCTTTAAATAAACGCCGTTTGAACTCGTTAGATCTCAACACAAAGACAGGACGCTCATATTTTCAGATACGATTTGATTTTTAATCTTCGATTATTTAACGTTTCTTCACATTAAGTCTACATAAACGCGCAAACGTGAGAGGAAAGTCGCTCATTGCAGTGCAGAACATAAATGTAACAGTTACGGCGCCGATCCAAACACACACGGATGCTGAGGTGGTTTAATAAATGGATCCGTTTACCTTGAGCAGGACTCCTGACAATGAAGCACAGCATAAAAGCCCAGAGAGTAACAATGAAAGAGGGTTTCTTTGAGTCTGAGCAGCAGGTACACATAATAGATGATAACAAATATAGAGCCGCTGTCTGAGTGAAATGACGATTCTTCTTCTTCTTCTTTTATTTCTTTTCGTTTGTCTTTTTCTGTAAAACTAGAGTCGGCTTTTCTTCTGCCTCCTACTCTCTCAATACTTGTCACAGTCAAGCAGTTTGACATTATGGTGGTGGGGGTGGGGAGATTCATGCGCATTGCGATTTGATTGGTTAAACTCTTTACTAAAATAACTAAAGCTTTACTACTTCACTTCACAGGTATTTGTCTCCGTGTTTTCGAGTTTTTGAGCATAATTCAATAGAGATTCACAGAAATTCATTACTTGACTATTACTTTTTTCAGTTACAGTTGCCGTACAAACTCTGGTTCCGCGTCATTTCGGTAATTTGGCTCTTTCTCTACTTGGTAGGGAAAACAAATGTCTCCATCAGGCAGAAAGTACCGCCAGGTGCCCTGATGTAAATTACACCGGTAACTTGTAATACTGAGTTTTCATGAATACTTGTCACATGAATACTTGTTGCACAAACCGAAAACATGCTCCATGCGATTTTTGGCCTGATGCAATCTTACTTATTGCAGTAGAAATTGACCTCATTGTGTTATCTGTTGCTACGGATCTGACAGTGTTTGCACCATCCTCTAATTCAGCGAGCTCTTTAGAAAGACTCTTTCTTTCACAAGACACAAAGAAAAGGCAGACTGCCTGGTGGTTTTTTACGAAGGTCACAGAGTCAGCTGCAACATATCCCTCTGCGTATCTGTACATCTCTGAACTACTGGGAAACGCTGGCAGATGTGACACGATTTTCAGTGCGTGTCACGGTGTGAAAAGGGGTCAGCGGTGAGCATACAGTAAAAGCAGCCTGCAGCGGTTACGAGCGACACGGGCGGTTGCCCGGGGCGGCATCGTGGTGGGGGGCGGCATCACGGGCATCGGGAAAAAAAAACAACAAAAAAAATGCTCGTACTCATGCTGCCCCGACATCAGCCAGCGCATATTGGGAATGGCATAGGCACCGATCGGTTTTCTATCGCCATTTGCTGGGAGTAAGGGCGCCCTCCGTTTGCGAGGTGCGCCTGCTGCTTGCGGCACAGGGAGGAGAGGGCGGGGCGGCGGGGGATTCTCTGGCTGGCTGGAGCAGCATCTAATAACCAACTCGCAAAATAAAACAAAATAAAAACAAACCAACAAACACGAAAACACCAGACATTATGATACAGACTTATAATTTGCACCGATGTTTTTTCGAAATTCTCGAAAAGTGAGCGCGAGAGCCCTCGGTGCGCCTGCTCGCTGCTGAAGTCAAAGTAAACTTTATTGTCATCTCCGCTACATACAGTCCAGTATATAGAGAGACGAGACGACGAGGCTCCAGTTACAGCAGTGCAAGTAAACAAACAATATATATAAGAAGAGTAAGAAAATAAATATACACTTTAGGACCAGGGGTAAAGGATCAATAACAATTTAAAATTTATAATTTACAGTTTGATGATTTAAAGTCTCACACACAACCCGTCGAAAGGGGGGGGGGGCCGGCTGCTTCCAAATAGAGCACATTTCATTCATAATGTTGTAAATCCAAGCCATTATGTATTCATGATTTGAATCCTGGGTTGTGTGAAATCCCAGAAATACACTCTTAGACAAAGTGAATCTGTGAACTAAGGTGTAGGTCTGTTAGGTTATGTTGTGGTGATCCTCTAGTTGGTGGATTTGTGTTCATACTGGAGTGCAAAATTAAAACCAATGGAAGATGGACAAGAAAAGTTCAAAGCCATCAGGTGCTCAGTTTACAAAAAAAGAGGAGGAGAGGAAGAGGGAGTCTTCGCCCAGGGCACCAAACAGGCTAGGACCGCCAATGCAGCCTGACACACAATTTTGTCACTGCGCTATTTCAAAACACCAGTTTGCATTATTACTAAATCTAACCCTGTTGGTCCCGTTACCTTTAACCCATGCGTTTTGTTTTTCTTAAGGAGGTATTGCAGTTGTTGCGACACACTCACAGGCTCATTGTGCAATCAACTGTTGGGTTCAGATGATTAATCAGCCTTTTTGTTTCATCATTTCATCATGAGTTTGACATTTTGAATGCTTCTATTTATATAAACCTATCCAGTGATATTTTAACATGATTTCAGTCGGTTTCGAGTTTAAAATGCATATCTATGCATATTAAGTAACAGACTGATAGCTGAGGATCATTAACAGCAGGGATTTATTTAAATGCCGGTAAAATTGAATTGGTCATATGTTCATTCTTTAGACTGTAGGTTTGTCCAGTGTAACTTCCTGTTGTCAGGAATAGCAAATTCACTGTGGTCAGTGAATGCTGGAACAGCTGGATTATACAATGATACATTGTTTCTGTACTGCATTTTATTTCACATATTGTCTGCATCCTTTATCCTTTGTGGCACTTTGGGAAGCAGGTGGAAAATGTGATGAAATCTTTTCTAAATTTAGTCTTTATTTCATTTGCTTCCCATCTATATAACACCTGTTACCTTTGACTTATAACAGTTGTGATTTCTAATGAACTGAGTAGATGGTTTGATGCCCAGCAGTAGTGACTAATATTTTCCTGCCTATAACAAGTGAATATAAAGTCCTCGTGGGAGAACATTGTCAGCACAACGCCTGGGCTTAGCTGTTTTTTTATGACCAGCAGCATAGTTCCGGAGAACTGCCCATGTGTGCCCAATTTCCTGCTCAGTTCTCTTCTCAATAACAGGAATGCGCTGTTCATGTTATTCCTTTGGTTTTTTGGGGAAGTTACAACCAAAAGCACTTTTTATTCCATGCATCAATACAGCAAACATTTGCCACTGAATCATTAGAAGACCATTAAAATTTGCAGACACCGAACACCATGTTACAAAGTCGGTATGACAATGTCAATGATTTATACTAAAGTTAAGCTATGCTAAAGAGAAATTTGACAAATTTATTTTGTGATTACAAGTCAAAGATGATCTGACGTGTCACCCTCTGCTGCTTAGGGAACAAAATGCCGGAAAGCCCCATGAGAGATTCTTCGAAGAGTCCCAGTGAACCATTAAACTCATCTAAGCCCTGCAGCAGTAAAACTCTGTGTGAACAAGTCCAGGAAGGGCCTGCTGGGACTTGCACATGAGATTACATATTCTGGTAACTGTTAACCATACAGTCGAGCTTATATTCCTGTAACTGTGATCTGATGAGCCAATGACAACATAAAACAAATAAAAAGCTTTTATGAGCAAATTTTTGAAGCTGTAAACACAAAATCTGACATTTCCTCTTTTATAACCCCAGTAAATAATAAAACGATAGTTACTGGCAGTGATGTGGTCTACATATCTGTTTCTCTATTGAAACATTTTTCCAACTCTTACCCATCACTGTATGCTTGGGTTGAATGGCCTGCTTTGTTATTTCATAGATGAAAACTCTTTTTTTTGGTCTGCACTCATCTAACTTACTGAATTACATTCATCAAAGAAGTGTGATAAACTACTGTTTTTGGTCCCAACACTCATTTCTTCTGTTTGCCACTAAAGTTCGCACTGATTTCGGAAAAAAATGCATTCAGATTTTCAGCTCCTTCCTCTTGGAATCAGTGGCAAAATCACCTTAAAGGAACTTAATGTCATTTTAAATGACTTATTGCTGTCAGGGCTCTGTGTGCGGGCAGGCGGAGATGGGGATCCAAATGCAGGACTCGGAAAACGGAATGCAACTCAAAACCTCAGCTTTATTGCTGGCAAGAAAACAAAACATGAAGTGAGGACTGAACACTGAGACCAAAAAACACACAGGCATAATCTGATGGTAAACTTGGATGTATCTGTAGTGTTGCCTTTATGAAATGAACAGAGTAGGAGGAGGTAGGACCGGAGTCTCGTGTGAGTGCAGCAGATTTTAGTTTTATTCTTGGGGGATGTTTTTTTTTAACCGCGACAAGAGAAAGGAATTCTACACACGGTGAAAGTGACATTGTAGCAACAGGATGTAAAATGTCATTTCTTTTTTTTTTATTTACATCAAAACATGCTGACCTTTGTGGCTCCTCCAGAGGCAGAGCAGCATCAGCAAAATCAGCATGAGGCAGACACCCACCACAGGAAGAATCACTCGGGGGGAAGAATCAGACGACGAGTCAGGACTCCCTGCTTCAAAACAAAAATACCACACATTGGCCTAAATGCAGACCCACAGGCCTTTGTATAAACGTCCAGCAGGGTTTTTTGTGCTAAGCTTAGCTGACAGCACACAGGATCTACCCTTCAGGTAGGACATCAAACAAGTGCATTTCTCATGATGTTGTAACAGTCCTTTAAATAAACAGTTTCTTAGAAAAACATTCAAGTGGTTGGTGGTTGATACAAATCCATCATTTGAACTCAGTCAGCAGTTTTCTTAAAGATTGCTAACTAACAATTTTTTATAAAGACAAACATAAAAAGGGGGATTCGGGTCTTTAAAACTTGTGTATATTTTGGAACTGAATGAACAGTTGAAGAAGGAAAAGTCCTTCCTTTACACTTTTTAACCAAACTAAACTAATGTTGTGTGGGTAAGGTGTCTGGATGTACTTATGTTCAGATTTGATCAATACTTACTGGGTAAAATTGGAAAAATAACCATATTTTGGTGGTTGCACAAAAATGCACAATAGCATAGAAGCACAAAAGTAGAACTTTGTCATGTAAAACAACCATATCTGGCTTCTAGTATGAATCCATCATGCTCACAGTAAGATGTTATAACTCTTTATGTTTTCTGCTCACCTGCAGAAACAACCACCAGTGAGCTGTCTGGTGATTCTCCAACTCCAGTGATGTTACACTTGTAGAGTCCTTCATGTGATTTGGAAACCCTGTGGATGTTCAGGTTTCCTGTAGAGCTGCTCCCAATAATATCATAATTTTTATAGAAAATAGAAGTGAAATTGGAGGATGAGCCTGCATTGTGTCTACAGTGCAGAGTTACAGTGTCTCCCTCCATCACAGGATGGGCAGGACCTTCCAGGATCACAGAACCAGCTGAAACATAAAACGTTTAGTTCAGACTCCCCTTGCAGCATCGGGTTATGTTTCTGATGCAATCCTTGTTCTATCTACCAGTTGTTGTCTTTTTTTTGTTTGTTTTCTTTCTTTCTTTCTTTCTTTCTTTCTTTCTTTTTGTAAGCAAGACTTGATTGTGTATTTTGAAGATAACCAATCAATGTGTAGATGAAATAAGTATTTGACAGAAATGCAACCAGAAACCATTAGCTGTGTTGACAACTAAGCCTTTAGTACTTTTTTCCATTTATCTGCATTTGTAAACGGTGACCTGTGCTCTTAAAACAGATATCTGTTATCCCCTGTCCTTACCCCTATTTTTTTTTGTCAAAGGTTTGGAAAATCCAAATTCAAATAAAAATGTATAAAAACACGTGAATGTGAACCAAACCTTTTAACCAAATGCTTCACATATCAGAAGCAGCATATGGAGCATATGCAGCAAATAACTGGAGTCAGTTGAGGCCTGTGTAGAATAGTTCATGAGTTAAATAAAAATTTATATGATTACAGTGGGACACGATCAAACTTCAGATGGTGAATGTTGTGGTTTTTGTGGTGAATTAAAACATCCTGCTTACTTGGCACAAAAAGAGCTGGTTCTTCATGATGATGTTATCTGTAAACGTGTAGAAGCTTTTCAGGTGCTTTGAGTCACTAATGGCTACAACTCATGATTTGTTGATCAAAGCTCACCTGTGACAGTGATGTTGATGGCATCAAAACACTCTCCCGTTGCAGACTCACACCAGTAAACTCCATGTCTGCTGGATAAATGTCACTGAAGTTGCAGTGAGATTCATCTATTCCATTTGAGGATGAGGGACATGTTGTGTTTGTGTTAAAGGACGTGCTCCTTTTAACTCTCCACTCTGAAGAGTTTTCCTGCCCCCCACAGCTTATGGAGACGGACTCATATGGAAGAACTGGGATCTGTTAGGAATGATTCTGAGTGAAGCTGCAAAACAAAAAGAGAAATGATGGCAAACTTAAGTTTATGTTGTTAATGCGCTTGAAGAAAGGAGCGACCGTGAAAGATGGGCGATGCATAGACGCCTGCTTTAGATGCTGTTTCACTACGGATGTTATTTGGATTAAAATGTGTCTGTTTAGCATGTGGCTGTAATGAAACCCCGGCCTAAGGCAGAATGGCTACCTGTTTACAATGCGATGCGGTTAGCGGCTGCAGCGAGCTACAGTAGCAAACGTAGACTGGATGCAATCGAAG